AGAACTACACTGGGTACCCCAGGAGTCCTTAAACAAGTGGGGTTCAAAACAAGTGTGTTCAACGGTCACAATGCAAGTGGGCAAAATAGAGAAGGTAGATCTTAAACAAACAAAACTAAGATAACCCCACCCTCCCAAATTATCCTCACAACAAAAACAGGTTGACGGGCACGTTTGTGCTCTTCCTACGGCAGTACTACCCTAGTTGGGCCTTGCCCCGTTTCGGTGTTGTTTCGCTGTGTCGATTTGTGGCGAAACGCAAATCTGGCTGGGGGATTTGCGGGTCCCTTTGGTTTTTGGTGTGTCTTGTTCTTGGTTTGAACTGATTTGCCATTCTTACGGCCATACGTGTCCATTTTTGTGTTGTTCTCAGATTTTCACTGCTTACGCAATTGTAAGGACCGAGCCTAGTGCAATATCGGCCACGCTAGAGAAAAAAAAACCCTCAGTTTTTGCCGATCGACCCTCATTTCGTGCGAAAGGGTTGCTCCGGCACAAGTAAAATCGCAGTTTTACCTCAGTTTTTTCCGATCGACCCTCATTTCGTGCGAAAGGGTTGCTCCAGGACAAGTAAAATCGCACTTTTACCTCAGTTTTTGCCCATCGACCCTCATTTCGTGCGAAAGGGTTGCTCCAGGACAAGTCAAATCGCAGTTTTACCTCAGTTTTTGCCGATCGACCCACCATTTCGTGCGAAAGGGTTGCTCCGGGACAAGTCAAATCGCAATTTTACCTCAATTTTTGCCGATCGACCTTCATTTCGTGCGAAAGGGTTGCTCCGGGGCAAGTCAAATCGCAATTTTACCTCAGTTTTTGCCGATCGACCTTCATTTCGTGCGAAAGGGTTGCTCCGGGGCAAGTCAAATCGCAATTTTTACCTCAGTTTTTGCCGATCGACCCTCATTTCGTGCGAAAGGGTTGCTCCGGGGCAAGTCAAATCGCAATTTTACCTCAGTTTTTGCCGATCGACCCTCATTTCGTGCGAAAGGGTTGGCGTTTCGTGACTCGCCGCCGGCACCACCCTCGGCCTTAAGAGAGAAAGATAAAAAGAAGGCGTGAGAGAGAAGGTGAGCAGGTGTGAAGATAAGAAGATGTGAAGATGAGCAGATGTGAAGATGAGCAGATGTGAAGATGAGCAGATGCGAAGATGAGCAGAGTGAAGATGAGCAGATGTGAAGATGGGAAGGTGTGAAGATGAGCAGATGTGAAGATGAGAAGATGTGAAGATGGGAAGGTGTGAAGATGAGCAGATGTGAAGATGAGATGTGAAGATGAGCAGATGTGAAGATGAGAAGATGTGAAGATGGGAAGATGTGAAGATGAGCAGATGTGAAGATGGGAAGGTGTGAAGATGAGCAGATGTGAAGATGAGCAGATGTGAAGATGAGAAGATGTGAAGATGGGAAGGTGTGAAGATGAGCAGATGTGAAGATGGGAAGGTGTGAAGATGAGCAGATGTGAAGATGAGAGGATGCGAAGATGAGCAGATGTGAAGATGGGAAGGTGTGAAGATGAGCAGATGTGAAGATGAGAGGATGTGAAGATGAGAGGATGTGAAGATGAGAAGATGTTTTACAGACCCCCACTATTGGAAGAACCCTGCGCTCAGACGCTCTCGGGAAAAGATGAGAAAACCTATGATAAACCATCAGATTCCTATGAGAAAAGATGAGAAAACCTATGATAAACCATCAGATTCCTATGAGAAAAGATGAGAAAACCTATGATAAACCATCAGATTCCTATGAGAAAAGATGAGAAAACCTATGATAAACCATCAGATTCCTATGAGGGAAGATGAGGAAACCACGTAGAAACCATCAAAATCCTATGAGGAAACGTTCGAAAATTAATGGTAAACCATACAAAAATCCAATGAGACATGATCAGAAAACCTCTGGTAAACCATCAAATTCCTTTGAGGGAAGATGAGGAAACCACGTAGAAACCATCAAATTCTTATGAGGGAAGATTCGAAAATGAATGGTAAACCATCAGATTCCAGTGAGAAAAGATAAGAATACCTATGGTAAACCAAAATAGGAAGTAACCCTGGAAATTGTAATCCGAATTAAATAGTAAAAGGGAGTAATAGCAAATGAGTCCACCAAAAATTTGGGGATCCCGGAGGGGTATGATTAATTCGGGGGTAGTGTTCCATTATTAGGGGGGGAAATCAGCACGTAGAGGACTTTAGTATTGCCCAAAAACTTCCGGTGAAAAGGGGTATGATTAATTTGGGGGTTTTATTAATCCTAACCCTACATTATAGATAGAGATAGAACCAGAGATAAAGAAAAGGATAAACATAAAACTATATAAACAAATATAGAACATGTATATATATATATATATATGTAGTAATATATGTATATATATGTAGTAATATATATATATAGGTATAGATATAGAGATAGATATCGATATACATAGATATAGACAGATAACTTGGGGATCCTTCATTTCAAGAACACCCCACATGTATAGCTGAGAAGGGTTTGGCAATGAGATTGGGGGGCTGTGACTTCGCACTTTGGCCAACGTCAAATTGGCTCAGCTTGGTGGCAGGGTCTCACAGCACAATACCAACATTGAACCACATCAAACCTGTTTTTTTTTTGCCTGATTGGTTGGCTTAGACTTTCCAGCAAATTGTTTTTATTTGAATTTGGTCGTGTTCCATCTGCATATGCATAAATATGAACATGTTACGTGTCAAAGGGGACCAGGATTTGTGTCCCAAATGAGACTCGGCGATGAACCTTCCAACCAACCTCTTGGATCATCCCTACCATTACCACATGGTTTTTTGGAACTCCAAGTGGTAGACATTCTATGTGGCACTGGCAGACTGGGTGAATCCCCACATGGAATCAAACACTTTTGTCATAAAGAAAATCTACGTTGAACGCCGATGTTCTGGAGATGATGCTCAGCCGCACTGTGGCTGAAAGATGTTCAAAAATTGCGCCCAGGTAATGAAAATCACAGCATTCGTGGGAAAATACACAGGATTTTCCCTCAAAGAAGTACAGTGAAAAGAGTCTTCAAGTCAGGATTTTATATGTTATGATCAGTATCATTGCGTTTTGCCGGGATGGTGGAAAAGAAACATCGGGTCAATCATTTGTTTTTGCAGACCCCTTCAGTATCCGTGGGATTTGGCGGGAAACTCTGGTGAGGGACGATTAAGCCCCCGCCCAATGTTTGTGGATGTGGCAGACGCAACCCTTCCGTACTCAAACATGGCTGGTTTGGGAAATCACTTAACTAAATGGGAATTTATCGAGAATTATCGAACTAAATGGTTGAGGGTACTGGAAACCAATCCTGTTTGAAGGAAATTGGACATGTCCTCCAGTAAATAGATTATGATTGCAAAGACTTGTCGAACACGTGCTTCTATAACATACTTCCTAGTTAAGTTATAGGTATTTATATCACAATCATATATACAAATATATATATATACATATACATAGTTAAGATCGCAGCTCATTCATTCCTGGATAACCGAATTCGTGACTAGCCAGGGTTCTTGATCATCACCTTTTTATGAACCTCCATGGACAAGAGGCCTGGACCAAGAAAAAATCATTAGTTCGAAGTCGCAAAAGAATCGATGGTTCACTTCTCGACCAGTCTTATTTCAAAAACATTCAAAAAGTATATGTAATACTGAAATACTGTAATATGATGTAATCATGCAATCATGTTCAATCGTTTTCCTTCTGAACTAGATGAAATTTGTACAATTTTTATTCTGAATCAATGATAGAAGCATTGGTTGCCCATCATCCCGCTTGGTCCTCTGAGGAAAGATGATGACTTTGCCAAGGTGACTGGGTGACCTCAAAATGTGGGAGATCTCGCGCCGAGCGCAAGTGGCCAAAGCTGAACGTAGGAAGATATTGGTGAGCACACAGAAATTAACACATGAATAGATCAATGAAACGAGATAGATGCTAGATAGATAAGTATACATAATATATATATATACATACATGTTTGTATGTACATACATACATACATACATACATACCTATCTATCTATCTCTCTATCTATCTATCTATCTATCTATCTATATCGATATCTATATCTATCTCTATCTATGTTTGTCTATCTATAGACAGATCTATAGACACTAACCCCGAAAAAGACAGGGCAGGTTCAATTCACCACTCATTTAGTGAGGTTCCTATTTTTGCACCCCCTGAGGGCTCCGTCAAACCGCCGGAAGAGGTGGGCTCCGATGTCATGGCACCCGAAATGGCAATGTGACATGGGAAGTATGTGGAATATGATCATTAAATTCATAAGTCCACAAATAAATATGAATATATACAAGTAAAAAAACGTGAAAAAATATATATATATATGTACATGCATATTAAATATTTATATACTCTATATACATATGTATATGTGGCTCCCTGGGTTAGAGTCCACAAAGGTAGAGGAATCCGGTTCCAAACCAGATTGTGGGTTTTGGGGTCCACCCCAAAAGACAAGAAAATACCCCAAAATGGGCTCCAGCAGACCCCCTGGGCCTATTGTTGTTACACTTCTCGATTTGGGCTGTCCGCAGCAGCGGCCACGCTTTTTCGCACCTGTGCGGCCTTGAGCCACGATCCATGTTCGGAGAACGGTCGATGGTTGACCTGGCAATATCGGATGCATGCACGGTTGTCTGACAGGTTGAAGGTACATCCAAGGTTAACACCGGTTGAATTGCAAATTCACACTGGTCTATTTTTCTTTTGGATGTACACTGGGTGGATCACCCTTTCCAAGTGCTGCTTCAGGCAAGGATACCCATTTGGCTGCTATTTTACGGTGGGTATTATTTTGCAACATCATGTTTTCATCAAAGATCCTGAACTTGCCCAAACGGAGCACTGTTCGGAGGAAATGCGATTCCATGGGTTTTGTCAAACAGTCTGCCAGCATTATTGCTGTCGAGATCCAACGACACTGGGAGTGTCCCGCGGCTTGTTGCTTAATTAACATCAACTGTAGTTCGCCACTCTTCACAGTTAGGAACCGCTAACTTCGTTGTTAGGTCATAAAGGCTTTTGCAGTCGGTGATGAGGAGAGCTTTGGGACCTTCCTGCAAGGAACTCTCAGGGTATTGCCACTTGAAACTTGGACTAAGGATATAACCCCACAAACACCTCAGCCATGTAAGTTTGTCGAGAGAGGAACTCATTGCATATGCCTCAGCACTAAGCGTTGATCTTACCACTCTTCCTATCTGTTTGGAGTTCCAAGACATTGGACTGATCTCGGAAGTTCGGTTGGCAGCTAACTCCGGAGTACACGCAACTATAAACAACCCTTGTTGGGCTTTGAGTTGAGAGGCTGAGGCGAAACTGGCATCGCCGAAACTCGCAAAAGTCACTTGGCTCAGCGGGAGAGGCCTCACCATAATGGAGGTATCCGCCGTCTGTTGTGCTTCAGCTAAGACTCGATTGGCCTCCAGCAACGTTGAAACAGTCGCGCTACAAATGTTCTTCTGAATGAACGCCACCTTGGCTGCCATATCTGGTCGACTATGAACTGCTGCATATTGCAAACTTCCGCATAAGGCTCGGAGGTCATGCACTTCTGACGCTAGCGCGTTGGACCCCTTTTCTGACCTGCGTGATTTGGGTATCTGAATAGGTTCAATCTTGTTGATGTATTCTTCTTGGCTAATCTTGATTGAATTATCAGGCAGCTGTTCAATGTCCAAACCAGTAAAACGAAACTTTCGATATTCCCTCTGTCCAAAAGGAAGTACCTTCTGCAGTTCTTTGAGTGCATTTTCATAGTTTTCGTTTCCACCTCCCAAACCATCATCTACATGTGTACCCAACACTCCATCTAGGACTTCTGGATTCTTTTTGTTACGCAAGAGAAATAGGCAATTGTCAAGTGGATGTGCTTCGAAACCAACCTTCTCCAACTGTCGACGGAATTCTTTGTAGAAAAGCAATGGTGCATCAACTCTTCCATAGGCGTTTCCTTCTAACAGCAGGACTTCATCGCCAGACAAATTCAAAAGTTGTTTCAATTCTGCAACTGGTTCCATCGCCAATTGTCTCCCGTCAGACTTGCCCCTTAAGAATGCAGTTGTAATGTCAAAGTTCTGCACTGTCCATCCCGAAGAGGATATCACTTGCAGCAACAGCATCCTTGCATCTCGAGACAATGTCGGGGATTCAGTACTTACCTGGTCCAGTTCTGGATCCTGATATCCTCTTACCACAAGTCGGGCTTTGGCCTTGCGACCATTTGGGAGTGTTGCATCGGGTTTCCATGTGAGGATCCATCGGCTTGTCATGATCCTGTTTGGGGATATCTTATGCCTCAGTATTTTCCTGACTGCACTTGTTTCCAACCAACAGCTCAGTTCTTTGGCTTTAGCTTGTTTGAAAAGTTCTTTCTCTCCATCATTCAAAGTGGCATACCTGACTTCAGACCGGGCTCTCCTCGCGGCTGTTGCCAAAAGCGAGGTGTGAATTTTTGGGTCTTGCAAAAACCTTTGAACCTGTTGCTGGGGAACATCGAATTCATACTCGCAGTATGGTCGCCTGTCCTCTTCAGCTTCACTCCAAAGTGTGTCTTCGTCACTTCGGATGGCAGGTCCGGGAACGTTGGCTTCAGTGAAGAAGGCATTGTACACGACATTGCTATCTTCTACACTATCATTCCCCATTAGGTTAACCCCGGTATCATTATCCCCAATACCACTATTGTTGTCTTCCCCAAAAGGCGTTCCTGGTGCATAGCTACTCGGTGACTTGATACTTTCATCTTCAGCTTCCCATGCTTTCTCAGAAATATCGGGGATGGCTATTTCTTCAGGATTGATTTCTGGAACCGGTTCATGGGAAGGTCTTCGAGTAGGTTCTTCTTCGGGCTGATTGTGAGTGACTACTGCTTCTGTTGTTTCATGTTCGGGAGGAATTTCACTGAGGTCGGAAAATTGGAACATACCACTTTTCTCATGTAAGCGCCTCCTCAGTTGTGAAGCCATCTGTTGTGCCCTTTGTGTATCAATCTGTTGATTGAAAGATGCATGGCGTTCAAACTCGCGCAAACTGACAGGTCGGAGATTGTCTCTGGCGCACCTGAGGATTCTATTCATGTGAGTGATCCAAACTATGGTTTTTGACTCAACCAAAACAACCTGTGCCGGGCCACACCATCTCCCTTTTTCTAACATGTTTGCGGATTTCCTTTTGTCCCAAAACATGCATGGTTGTCCACATGACCATTCTGTGATTTCTCCTCTTGACTTTCGGAGTAAGGCTTTGCGAATGGCTTGACTGTTATCACTATCGATAAAGGCTTTTCTGGCAAGAACCCTCAACTCAAGTGCTGCACGGAAACGGTCCGCATCTGGGCCATCGTTCATGGCTGCATGCAAATGGGCTGGATTGCCCTCATCGCTGATGATTGAAGCTGGAAGGCGAGTAGCTTTACCAAGGACAGCTTGTTCAGGACTATACCCTCCTACTGATGCAAGGGAATTTTTGGCACGGAAAACTTGGGCTAGGGCCCTTTCGAACTCTTTCTCATTGCGGATTGGTTGAGCTTGGTCTATTCTATGGAGCATTTCTTTTACAATACCTCCATGTCTCTCAATCCTACCTCTTTGCCATGGTCCTGCTGTCAGTATCGGAGTTATGCCTTCACGCTGAAGAAACTCTTTCCAAGGGTCAGCTACAAATTCACCTCCGCAGTCCATCACGATTTCGCCGGGTGACCCGGCCCAATTGTTCCAGCAATCTTCAAACACCTTTTGAGCTTGTATTCCATCTCGAACAGTGCGACGTCCCAAATGAAATTGGGTTGCTTCATCGATGATGTGAACGACATAGCCCTGATATCCATGTTCCCCTTTCCAATCAAACCCATCTATATAAATGCGTTGATTGAAGTCACGTGCCTCCTTCAGGGTACCTGTGGGATTCAGTCGTGGTGGGCGTCGTTCAGCACACGGTGCACAGAGATAGTCTAGAGCTCCCTGAACTAAGAGCTCTTCGGCTCCGAGGTCAGCCAGGTGTTTGGAAAGGCGTTCAGCTGTCGGATGTCCAAGGTTGTGGTGCAATTTACGGATGTATGACTTCCTTTGTTCCGACAACTTCAAATACCTTGGACCTGACACTGAAACCGCTGCTGACGTCCATGAATTGGCAGGCAACTGAACATCGGACACGCTGTCTGCGAACATCTTCCCGTTGGATGGGACCATCGCAGATGGCTCTTGCAGTTCGGCACTAGGAACTCGGCTGGAGTTCTCCTCGGCATTTGTCTCATGAGTTTGGCTATCATTCGACTCTATTGCTTCACTTGGTCTACCAAACACGCAAACCATGATGTGAGCGGATATTTCAGCTTTGCGGCTCTGTTGGTTCTTGGACATCTCTTGAAGGTCTTCAGTTCCTAGGTCAAAAACTTCATATGCAAGCCTGCTCAAGATTATGGTTCGTCGGAAAGGCAATTGGTCAGGATGAACCACATATTTTTCACGCCCTTTTCCTGCCATTACGGACAGAACTTGCATCTCAGGACATAGTTTCTGAATAGCCTGAACTTCGCTATTTTGGTTCCCCTCCCATCTTACTACCCCTGATTTAGGTAACTCTTTTCGGTACCTATTCATGAGCTCTTTCCATTGAGGATCATCAATCTTCTGTTGTTCATTGAGTTCAAGGGGTCTTTTGCGGTTGTTTTTCTTGGTGTTTTCATCGGTTGTTTTCTTCATGCGTTTGGGAGAACTCTCGAGCAACTTGTCGGCATCATCCAGTGAGCGGACTGGGAGGCATTCCTGGTCGATCATAAATATCGGGGCAACAACATGTGAATGCTTCGGTCGCATGATCACTTCAGCCAGTTTCTTCGCAAGAACCCTTGGGTAAAAGGCAGCAAAACGTGACACCTGTATGTTCTGGCCCTTATAGGAACAGTTTCCAGCAATTGGGACATGTTCATGGTCATGCTGACAGAAACGACTGTCCATGCTTTGGAACATTTCTTCTGAGGACGTTTGAACACGCGTTCTCTTTTGCATGGGTTCTTGGAGACACGGATGCTTGAGACCAAAGCGACACTGGTCGAAATATGCTGGCTTTGTGCTACTGCATATCTCCTGCATTTCATTCTGATGCCACATACCTGAGGGTCCAGGGTTTTCCAAGTGAAAGTGATCACCGCGATCCAATTGTATTTTGCAAACCAGGGAACAAAAGGTGAGCTGTTCCCGGGACCTCTCTTGGTTGTCTTGGATGCGGCAAAAGGATGATACGCCCCTCATTTGATTGAAACGATTCCAAGGACACCATGGGGCACATTCTGGAGCCATCCACACATGCTTGGGTTTCCAAAGAAAAACCTTCTTCAACAGCTTCAATTGACCCTCAAAAGTTCTTAAATCTCCATCTTCCATGGTAAATCGTTTGGCCGTTCCCCCACGTTTATTCACTTCATCAGTTAGTTTGCTCTGAGGGCTTGCATACACTTCCAAAAGATCAATCTGTTTGGTATTTCCTTTGGGCATGTGATGGCGACAACTCTTCATGAGTTTCATTTCGTAGGCATCCTCCAGAAATAGTATTTGCTCCAATGGCCGGGACTCTATCGGAGATTTCTCACTGCCTGGCTTTCCATGTCTTCTCGAGCTCGGCAGTAGGTGATGAAGTCCTGCATGGCCGGTGTCGCATTCTTTGCCCTTGCTGTGATCCAGTCGACATAGCTGTTGTTTTCCTCGTAAACCTCCGCGAATCTCTTCCCATTGTGCGTCTTTCCCCACGAGATTCTCTTGTTCCCCCAACTCTCCACTGCCTGAGCCGTCAACGCCAGCTGGTTCTCGTTGGTCTGCACCGGAACCGGCAGGGGAACTTGATTCCGGTGTGTCACATTGGTTGGCATCACCCTTGGGGCAGTCCTCTTTGAGGGAATTGTCATTGACGCCATCAGTTCCTCTTCCTCCAGCTCCCATGAGAAATCCGAGAGGTCTCCAGGCTCTGACGGCTTTGGCCCACCGTTTCCCCGAGACTTGCGAGGGGACTTGATTGCTTTGAGAGCCTCGGCGAGTTCTTCGATCTTTTCCTTCTGGTTGCACACATGTTCCAGAAGGGACTGCAGTGAGTTGGCATGGTGGTCTGAGATCTCTTGGTCCGGGGCTTTCACTTCGATCTGGTTCATCAGGATGATGAGCAGCATCCGAAGTGATTCCATCACTGCTTCGGCCGTGGTCTTGATCAGCCGCATTGCGTCCCTCTGAGTCAGCATGGTCGGCAGGCTCGGGAGAAAACAAACCAGGCGGTGGGCAGATGTTGGGCACTTGGACGGCTTTGGAAGTTTCTACATTCATGGCTGTTTCGCAAGGATCGACACAAAGCTCTGACATTCGTATGACATACAATCCATTCTCACTTTCTTGCAAATTCAACTCTCTATTGATTTTGCTAAGAAAACATTGATTTGTTGACAGATTGATCATGGCACCTAAGGCTTTCAGGGCTTGTATGGAAATCAAGAAAGGTGTGGCATGTGGTACAACCTCTATGACCATCCATATTCGACGTTTCCCGATGAGGATGGGAATGCGAACCTGTTTGAAACTGTAGGTTATTTGATTGTTGCCAAACCTAAAACCAACTCGACTTGGGACCTCTTTCACCTGGTGCCTGACTTCGGAAGGCAGACTTTTCAACACTCCAGGCCACAGTTCGGCTCCAATGACACTTCGGCTGGCACCAGTGTCCAGGATGGCAAGCCCTTCTTGGGCAATCCGACTCAGGTCAGGTCGGCTGTGATAGCATTCAACGGCCGTTGGCATCGCTGGTTTCCTGGAGTGCAGTCGTGGGCCAAGGAATTTCTGGACTTCAGGGATTAAGTGTTGCATGCTGAAAGCAACTTCCGTGGGTGGGTCATACATTATGGGCTTATGGGACTTATCGGAAGACGACATTGGACGACTGACGGCAGACATGGCACGAATGCATCCCTCGGCTGCATGTTTGGCTGCATTACCTACCCGTCTTATTATTCCCAACATTATCCCATTCCATGTTACCTCATTTTTACCCCTTTGATTATTCCCTCTTGGCACATGGTCACGTTCTTCTGAACCGGCCTCATCTGCATCTTCAAAAATCACTTGAGCAGGTCCATCTTCGCGGTCGATCACCTGAAAGCTCTGGTGAATTACATAGTTTACACTGTCGGTGGATGCCCCTGCTTTGTTCGGGCATTCCGCTTTCCAGTGGCCCTTCTCGCCGCATGCTTTACAGAACGTTCTTGCGATCCTCTGGAGAAGATTGCCTTTGCCCGACCCCTTTCGAGGTTGAAACTTGCCGGCACCCTTCATTTTGCCCTTTCCAGTCGACGGCCAAAACCCCCTGGAGCGTTTTCTCTCCAATATCTTGGTCCGGGCCTCTTGGTAGTTCACTAGTGCTTGATGCAAGTCCGGCACTTCTTGGAACATCTCTTCCAGGTCACGTTCGAATGCGACGACATTGAGGGCGTCAGAGTCACCCTGTGCAGCCAAATGCTCCACCAACTCCTGATCCACCTCGTCGTCTTCAGTGTAGTAGTTGTTCATTCCGGCTCCTGATGAGCCATCTTGGTCAGTGGCAACGAACCCAACCTCCGGTTCAACGAAGTTGGTCGGGTAGACCTTCTTGCGGTTTTCTCCTGAGGACAGGATATTGGTGGCCAATGTCCTCATCGATTGCTCAATCTTCTTGGTGTCCATATCTCCATTGGTCATTGTAAGGACTCGTTTCTTGTCCTCTGGACTCAAAACGCTTTGCCTCAAAAGGAGGAAAGCATGGAACTCCTTCAGGCTCTTGGCACCAAGCTCATCCATAGCCACCTGCAGTCGATTCACGTAGCTCATGCTACTTTCATCGGACTTTTGTACGGTGCGGTAGACTGCTTTCTCGAACTGTTCATATGTTTTCATCTCAGTGGACTCTTCCCATGACGATAGCGCCGCTAGAAGACTTTTGACACCATTCTCTGGATCGGTCAAGGCACTTGATTCAAGGCTTTTCACCTGTCCCCAGGCTGTCCCTCGGCACAGCATGGCCAATCTCGGAGCAAGCATCGGTCGATCCTTCTTTGGGCATATGCTATCTATGAATTTCACCTTCTCAATATACTCCTTCACATTGTCAACAGCAGGATCGAAGGTTGGTAAGAGGGTCCAAATGTGACTCCCCTTGTCCTCCGAAATTTCCGCTGTCGCTGACATGGCGGCGCCCCAGGCTTTCCACGGGTTCCGTGGGCCCTCCGGGCTCCGCTACCAATGTGGCTCCCTGGGTTAGAGTCCACAAAGGTAGAGGAATCCGGTTCCAAACCAGATTGTGGGTTTTGGGGTCCACCCCAAAAGACAAGAAAATACCCTAAAATGGGCTCCAGCAGACCCCCTGGGCCTATTGTTGTTACACTTCTCGATTTGGGCTGTCCGCAGCAGCGGCCACGCTTTTTCGCACCTGTGCGGCCTTGAGCCACGATCCATGTTCGGAGAACGGTCGATGGTTGACCTGGCAATATCGGATGCATGCACGGTTGTCTGACAGGTTGAAGGTACATCCAAGGTTAACACCGGTTGAATTGCAAATTCACATGTATATACATATATATATTTTGGTATATATTAGTATATAAAGGACTTGAGGGTTTGCTTCCCACATGAACTCTCAAATACAGATCCAGCGTGGTCGATGGGATTCATGGTCATACTGGCGACCATACACGTAGCTTGTTGCGTAGCAAAGAAGTACCAAGGCCACTACGGACAGGACGGAGGGTTAAAATGGGTTAAATGATTTTGATCTATCGTGTCATTTGCTTGGTTAAGGGAGAGACCTACCTACAATTGGTGGTGTTTTCGTTGTGGTTTCCTGGGGACTTTCCCTTAAAGCCATTCATTGATTGTGACCCATGATCCATTTGGAGGCAGTACAACTTCCTGGTAACGGTTCTGCAACTTTCGCGCTGGGTAGATCTACTGTGAAGGAGAGTTTCCGAGATTTCTGTCATTTCTGTCACTGGATGATAGGCCGCAAGTGGTGTTTGTCACAGTGCTTTGCTGTTAATTAAACAATAGTTTTGCAGCCATCCCCCAAAACTTCAGGCCCCAGTCGATGGATTGTTCCAAGGGGTAGCCGTTGGAAGATGCGTGGCGCCAGGTGATCCAACTGGATGCGGGGGAAGAGGCGCCCCAGCTCCATTTTTTGGGGATTTCCAGCTCCAAAAATCCTATGGGTTATCTTGGAAATCCTTCAATGGGCCGACCTGGTGGAGGTTCCCGTGCTCAGCCCGGCGGAAAGAAAGGAATTGCAGAGGCGTGAGATGGGTCTTCAATGACGTAGCGAAGCCATGGCCCATAGAAATGGATATAAATAGATGATTTCACATGATTTACTTATATAATTATCATGATTTTCCATAGCTATGGGAAATAACCGGGTACATCCTGCAATGAGTCACTGTTGGTTTCGGTTCGTGGTTTGGAACTTTTGGAATTCTTGGCACCATGCTGACAATCGGTTTGAGGCTTCCCAGGAATCCAAACCATTCCAAAGGATCAAGAGAAGTCACCAGTGAAGCACTGGTGATTTTTGGGTCAAGACAATTAGCGCCCCAGGATGAATCTTGAAGGGATCTTATGACCAAACTGTGTCTGAGAAACAATCCAATGGCCATAGATTTCAGCTCATATTCCGTAGGACATCATGTCGTGGGCTACCCACAGACTTGACCCATACCTGATCTGGCTGTGTTGCAGGAGCAGCAAAGGAAAGGGCAAAGGTCGCAAAGGTGGTGGAAAAGGTTCCAAGAAGGGCAAAGGCAAAGGGAAGGCCTGGAGAAATTGAGACATTTTGAAGCTTTTGGATATCACTTGATGCAGCCAGGTTTCAGGTTGACTGCTGATCCCCGCAATGATGGGACCCTGCGATCACGCAAGACTGGTATTGTGCATGGTGATTTCACTCTATGAAGTTGTCCAAGACTTGGTTTCAAAGAAATTTTGCCGGAACCCCTGGCTTTTCATCATGTTTTTGCAATAAGACTCTTAAGTAAGTCTCCATTTCTAGGGCTCCTCTTTCGGTTTTCCATATCGTGTTTTTCTCGTCGCTTCACGTCGCACTCACTTCACGCAGGGCGAACCCCAAGCCAAGCCCGATGAGGGCCTGGTGGCTCGCGTCGCCAAGTGCCCGTGGTATCCGTTGGAAATTCGGCACGAAATTCGGCATCCTCAGCATCGTTGTGTTTTCATGCCAAGCTCCCTGCCAAGCTTTCGTCCCTTACCCCTGGCCCTCAAGTTTTGTAGGGAAAATCAGGATTAAAACGAGTGGATATCTCCCAGACAGGCAAAAATGCTGATTCACATTGATTTTCCATGATTTTTTTGGAGTACTCGATTTCCAGCCGAACCCGTTCATGAGATTTGACTATATGTTTATCTGAATTTTTACTCGTGCTTGCCCAGTGCTTGCCCAGTGCTTGCCCATACCTATATGTGTCTTGTGTGCGATTCGGCAGATTATAGCCACCTCACTGATTCTTAAGGGAAACTACCCCCCAAAACGGGTAAACACATCAGGTGTGGCATATATCTTGTATATAGAACGCCCAAAAAGATGCAGATTTTAAAGGTTCGACCTTTTTTTTGCCACTATATGTTAGGTTCGGATTTTACCAACAATCCGCATCTTTCTGGAGGTTGCTACTGGTTGCTCTTGGTTGCCACCTTCCTGTTCCAAAAGCTACGCGCCGTTTGAGGTACGCGCGTCCCACGAAAGGAACTCCCGAGGAGCTTAAGGTGAAGCACGATCGAAAGCGGAAGGGTCAGGCGTGGACCTTGGGCGATTTATTGTCGATACAGTGGCCCACAACAAAAAGTAGACCACTTATATAGTCCCTGCTAAAGAAGGTATGTTGATATGGCTTTGATGGTGATTTATTCCGTTTACTTTTTGATTTCTTTGGGGACCCTGGCAAAAAAGGTAAAGAAACCTGGGATCATTGTCGCACAGATCTGGGCAGCTTTGGGGAGCACTTTAAAAGAGACCGCTACAACCAACAAAAGTTGGTGATTTCACATCTAAAAACACTTAGTCTCTAAGTATCTAAGAAGAAATATATGATGTCCATATTTACATCTACATCTATAATCATCTTGGAGTAGATAGAATATGAGCTGTTCAAAAATCACCAGCAAAATTAGAATATTATTTTTCATATTCTACTTCAGGACTACTATATACAGTATATACATATTATACATTGGAAATCTATGGTTAACACTGCCTAACATCTATCTTTCATAACGGTTTCTACCTCCAAAATGGATCAGCGCCAGGCGAAGCTCAATCAGCGCCTGGACCGTGAAGCTGCCTTTCGCGCCGCGAAGGCGGAGGCAACGCATGGCAACGCGGCAACGGACGGGATTTGGTGTCCTTGGGATTTGGAGTTTGACAGTGCTTAGAAATGAGGATCCGATGAGGATCCGATGAGGATTGACGGTGATTGATGATGATTGATGGTTTTTGAGTTGTGAAGAATACAGTATTTTTTTAAATGTAATCATGGTTTCATATGGTTATTACTGTACTGTTACTGTACCAGCTTGTGGCTATATCGTCCTAGGATCATCCGACCCAAGGACCCATTGTAGTTCGAGATGATTTACCTATTTCAATGATGATTGTTGATGATTTTGCATAGCAACCCGTTGGCTAACCTCAGGGTACATTCACAACAACAAGAGTTGTTCATGTTCTCATCATGTTCTGTATCATAAATCCGAGTTATAGGAGTTATGTTCACCACCTTAGCTAACTATGGGGCACCACCTTGTACTCATTCTCATCCTTTTCTGTTGTCGTTTTGAAGGTGCTACAGACGGCAGAGCCGGGCCTCATTGAAACGGAGGAGGCGGAGGATACCACCAGGCAGAAAACCATGGGAAAACCGGGGAAAGTTGTTTTTTTTTCACCAGGAAATGTGGTTTTCAACCATCAAACTTGTGGTTTTTCCACATGTTTAGAAATTTGAAAATTTGGTGATTTCACTGGAGATCATGGGGGATGCGCCAAGTTGTGTAGGTTTTAGCAATATATATAGATATGGGTATGTCAAAGTAGGAGAAAGGGTATTTGACCATGGTGTTTTCATCCGGAAATGAGAAATGTTACAACATAGATGCAGGGATTTTTCAATAGGTTTAAAAAAAGAACTTGCGTTTCGCTGAGAAAGTTTGAATTTGGTCTTTCAGAAATTGGAATCCACACAAGAAATTAGTGGTTGTGATGCAGCAGACACACGAATTTTACTGGAAACATGAAGATGTGGGGGTTTCCTAAAATGGTGGTATCTCCAGTCATCATCAATTTTCATGGGATTTTCTATATTTTTCTATGAGAAAAACCATCCAGCGTGCTATTTTTGGGTATCCCCATTGAAGGAAACCTCGATGTATGTAACTGGAAAGCTGGAAAATCACGGGGATGTGCGGCATGAAGACGAGTGAGAATATGTTCAACGATTCCAACGATCCAAAATCCGCGAGATCTTCATTTTGGATATTGCAAAGAAGTGGTGTTTTGAAAGCCGAAACAAGCCCTATTTTTTTTTTGGGAGAACATTGGGGCATCACGAAGGATAAGTTGGGCATGTACTGAACCAAACAGTGCGGAGATCACCGAGAAATAATCCCATGCCCCGATGATATAAAATTGACATTGGTCATATAGGTATAGTTATAGGACCACCCCAAAGATCGGTGACTTCCCAACATATAGGTACATATATATAATATAATATATATATAGTTATATAATCTATATATATATATATTTATATAATATATATATATATATATATTATAGTTGTATAATATAATATATATACACATTATATGTAGATGATATAGGTAGTTCAGCTTCGCCTTGTTTCCCAATGCGGTTGTTGGTCGATTCAGATTTGCCCAGGCTGACGCAGAAGGACATCCTGGATTCAGTCGGGACCTGAACGTGGGGATGGATCAAGATTGGGGCGGTATATCTTGGCGTATAGCTATGTATGATATTGTATCTATCTATCTATCTATCCATCCATCCATCTATCTATCTATCTATCTATCTATCTATATATATATATATATACATACATATTATGACATTATGAAATATCAGTATGTCATAGACTGATATATAGCTATACCTTGGCGTTATGATATTATAGTCATTTGACTGGATATGTATATATGTATATATATATATATACATGTATATGCTTATGCTTATTTATATGAATACATTTACACAGAAGATGGACAGGTTCATAATTCATACTAAACGGACCAACATAAGTGATTCCCAGGGCTTTTGAAAACTGGGGCCAAATTCTGAGGGGGTGTAAACACAAGGTAGGGAAGCAGCCGCGGATGATTTTTGGATCCAACTGAGAGCCGATTTCTAATTTGACCAAATCTTTGGGGATCCAACTGAACTTTTTGAAGCGTACCTGACCTTTTTGAACCGTACCTCGCTGCCAAGTCGTCACAAACCCTGCATCCCAAGGCTGGTGTGGGAGTGGCCCGCAAGTACTTCTCCTTTGATTTGCCCTACGGTCCCTACAACTGTGACTGGGAGGAACTGGTTTTTGAGGATGGAGAGGATGGAGATACCGAAGGGGATCAGCGTTGATCAGCAGATTTTTCGCTACATGGATGGTTTTTATAGCTAAACATGGTCACATTTTAGCATGAGAAATGCTGTTTCTTTATAGCTAAAAACAGCGACTTCAGCCATTTCTTCAATGGGAATTCCAGGATCCTAAAATAGAGGTACTGTACCATATAAGGCCATATTTTGGGGAAAATCCCTTTACATAGGCCTTACATAGGCCTTATATATGGTAGGTACCTCCAATTTAGGTTCCTGAAATGGCCATTGATTTCTCATGTGCTGTTTTTTTTTTTTTTATATGGTAAGATCATCGATTCGCAGCGGTTACAACTTCGTCACAAAGCGACTCGAAAGGTGATCATCTGGGGGTTTCCTTGTATGGGGATACCCCAAAAACGCTGGATGGTTTTTCGGATAGAAAATGCCACTAAAATGGATGATGACTGGCGATACCATCATTTTAGGGATCCCCCACATCTATATCATCTATAAATGAATGATTGGATGATGACTGGGGGGTAGCCCTATGACTTCAGAAACCTCCATTTGTATCATGGAGATATTTCATGGGAATATCATTGCATCAGGTATACGTATATAATATGGGACCTATAACGTAAAAAAAAACATATATCACAATTTAGGCACCAGGCGAAGCCTAAAGCCCTTTCCAGTCTGTCCATTCCCTTTCTTGAGGTGGAGACGTTGTTTTTTTATTGGCAATTGTCGTAATCCAGAACAATTTGTTTTTTTTCCAGGCCAACCAAAGCAAAACCCACGTCTCCGCATGAAGTGCCAGTTCACATTCATCTCACCATCATTGCTAGTTAATGTCCCAATAGCTTTAAGTTCTCTTACTTGGCTTCACTGAGTGGTAAGTGCGTCAGAGACGTCCCCGGGGACCTCCCGAATTCCTCCCATTTCCACAACAACTGAGGTAGTCTGACCCGCAACGGCGCACACCTCCTGGTGGGTGGCAGAAAGGGCCATGTGGCGCCCTGGATTTCAGTAGCCATGGTGATTGATTAGCAACAAACAACCAGAAATTTCAAATCCTGAATTCGGGGCCAAGACCTTGAATTCAGGATTTGTGTTCGTTCAACCAAAATTCGGGATTTGCTCAAATTGGTTAAACCATCCTGAAGCAACAGAACTGGCGATTTTTGGTTCCAAAGTCAACCGGGGATACAAAGAGGTGAACTGAGCACAAATCGTTTGGGAATTTTCCGGTTGTTCCAAGCAAAAGGACTATGCACATTTTTGAGTTCAGGTTGCGGCTAGGGATTTTTTGGAACTGACAATTTCAAACTGGGATCACTAAGGCATTTATGCACTTGGAGCGGAACTCAGGGCTCAGCTGAGCTCGGACATTGGTAGCGGATGTTCGAATCAACTGGGTGCAGCTGGTTTTTTGGTTTTTCCATCCACAAGTCGAGAAATATGGGGACATGTAACATCCTGCAACCTAAAATTATCCAAAATCCTGAGAAATCTTCGTTTTGCGATTTCAGATTTCAGAGGTCAGACTCCATGTCGCCATTTGTATCTTGGCTCCAGCTTGTATCTTGGCCCCGATCGAAGGTCGCTTTTGGAAACTCCCAAAATCCACAACCCAAATATGTCCAGTCGATTCCAAAAAACTCAAAAACCAACATATCTCCAACGCAAAATCAGAATCAATCCAAAGCTCATAATCCCCCACAAATCAACTGCATCTACAGTGATTTTTCAGCCTGATGCCAGCGGTGTTGCTTCCCAGACGAAGCTGAAAAGAAACTTCAACCTTAATGGTTCACCAAAAACCTACAAAGATTCGCAAAGATTCAGGTCCTGACAGTTTTTTTACCATGGTTTTTACCCATCAAACATAGTGAATTGACCGGTGGATATCCACATGTTCACTGTATCTATCGATATTTTCGAAGTCCTACCAGGTCATGGTAGGGCGCATGCCGAGTCGTACAACCGTTTAGCAACTCACCACTTTCTCCGAATGTTTGGAAGCACAGTGGCACAGTATTCATCAGTACCCTCTGGTAAACTAACATAGCTATGGAAAATCACCATTTTTTATGGGAAAATCCACTATAAATGGCCATTTTCAATAGCTATGTGAAATTACCAGAGGGTATTGAATATTTCCAAAGTCAGTGCATGGAAAATGCTGGAAATGCTGGTAACTGAAATCAGATTTGATCCACCACTGGTTCCCAGTTCCTAGTTCCCAGTTGCCCAATTTGTTTGCCACGTCAGATCGCCATGTCGACGGGAAATCCTTATGGCCTCTCCGAGATTTCACACTATGGCACCTTGCTGGGACGTGCGTGGAAACGTGGAATCACCAAGTAGCCAAGCTGGTTATGACTGTTACATGGCCATGGGAAATAGCCATGACCCATAGATCGATTTATAGATGGTAAAAACCGAAGTTAGAAATGGTGGATCTGGCTTCCATGGCGAACTGTAACAAATAACCAGAGGGTATATTTTTGGCCATGGGCCATTTGTTGATCCCCGGGAACGCTAAATGATTCATGGATTCATGGACCATGGATGATTTAATCTGGTGAAATAGCGAAAAGTAGTTTGGTCGAAGACTGAAAAGGTACCATTGGGTACTCCAAAAAGTATCTTCGATGATGATTTACCTATTGAAAATGAGGATTCCAGTGGTACCATGGACGTCCCACCCCCAGGCTCCATGCGCAATGTGGGCGGCAAAGCAGGGGGCTTCATCAACAAGAAGTTCTTCCATCCATCGTCCCTGCGCAACCAGGCCGTGCCAGTGCCACAGATGTTTTTTTGTGCCGAACTATGCCATGTATTTTGGCGAATCTAAACGAAAGGTGTATCCATTTTTCTTGGATCCATTTTGGATCCATTATGAGTAAAAAAAAACAGGAAACGATATATCCTCAATTGCTGATAATGTTTCGAGACCCATCCGTACCAGCGCCACTCTCTTGCGCAGGAGAAGCTGTGGAAGGCCATCACTTCCGATGCCGCAGAGAAGCGGAAGCAAGATGATTTGGAGAAGGCATCGCAACATGAAGTTGGGGTGCCCTCCAAAAAAAAAAGGACGCTGATGCATGATGGTAAAATGACACAAAAAGGGGAGTTTCACCAACAGAAATTGGAAAGTAAAGCAAGAAGAGTCGGGAATTTAAGCAGCAAAAACTGGGAATTGAAGTAAGAAAACTCAGAATTGAAGCAATTAAATGGTTTTACCAACATAATTATTCTATTTATTTTAACAAACAAAAGACGGATTACAATGGCGATATTTTTTCACCAATGGGGAGATCTGGGACTGACCCTGGAACATGGTGCCGTAAGTATGGTGATTTTTCAATATTTAATTGCCTTCGGCAAGCCCGCCGGCCATAGAGAGGTGGCCCCAAGGGAGTTTGATGTGCACTCTAGGTGGAAGCCCGCGAGAGAAGCAGAAGAGAGAAGACGAAGAAGAAGAAGAAGAAGAAGAAAGGAAGACGAAGACAAAACCGTAAAACGGAAGCGGCTTGTGTAGCAAGTGCTGGCTGTAGCAACCTATTGATCGTATACCAAATTAGTACCGCCCCCAGCAAAGTAGCGCCAGGTACTATGTATGAGCCTCTGGCTTGAGAGCAGAGCGCTGCATGGAAGCAGACCGGGTGGAAGCGGAGAGAGGTTGCCCCAGGGGAAGTTGATGCGCACGCTAGGTGGAAGCCTGAGAGAGAAGCAGAAGAGAAGAGAATAAGAAAAGGGAAAGAAGAGGAAGAAGAAGAGACGAAGACAGAGCCGTAGAGCAGCTTGGTAGCAAGTGCCTGCTTGAACAACCTATGGACCGCATACCAAATGAGTACTGGTCGATCAGTGTAGTACCGTGTGCTTCCTGTGACGAGTACCTGTAGCCGACTGTAATGCTGTAGGCAGTGTCATTAGCTACCGGCACTACCAGTTGAGTACTTGGGAAAGAAGGGAGGAAGGAGTAGGCGTCGGAGTAGAAGTAGGAGTAGGAGTAGTAGGAGTAGTAGGAGTAGTAGGAGTAGTAGGACTCCTGGTGGAGGAGTAGGAGTAGTAGGAGTAGTCGAAGTAGTCGGAGTAGTAGGAGTAGTAGGAGTAGTAGGAGTAGTAGGAGGAGTAGCAGTAGGAGTAGGAGTAGGAGTAGGAGTAGGAGTAGGAGTAGGAGTAGCAGTAGCAGTAGCAGTAGCAGTAGCAGTAGCAGTAGCAGTAGCAGTAGCAGTAGCAGTAGTAGTAGTAGGAGTAGTAGGAATAGTAGGAGTAGTAGTAGGTGGTAAGGGGGGTGGGCTTGATTCAGACGAAGAAAAAACGCGCAGCAAGAGAACAAAGGAACAAGTACAAGCCAAGAACGGGATTAAGAACAACACCTTCCAATCAGACACGCCATCACGCCGGCGGATTGTTTCATGAAAATCGGTGATTGAACGAACAAAAACAAGCATTCATCCGCAAAAATTGAATTTCAAACCAGAAATGATGTGTAATGAGAATATATGATGTAGTCTGAAAAACGAGAGTTTCATCACATTTTGATGGAGATATCATCCATTCCTTCGATAGGTGTTGGGTAAACTGAGTGGCCACGTGGTAAACCCAATCAACCACCCATGTTTTGAAGTTTCTTACAAACAACACGGTAGGTAGTAAATTTGTGATGAACCAAACCCCTCATTTTTCTCGGTCGACCTTTAGGGTTTGTGAAGGTTGTATGTTTTCCAAGACGAATTGGGACAGATATGAGTAAACTAATTGGTGCATGAATAGTTGGTGAGCCAACATTCTTTTGGTAGATAGGAAAACGTAAAAAACAATTGGCAGTTCAGAAGGTTTAAAATTAGACTAGACTAGTGGTGATACCACCAGTAAATGATGGGCAAAACCACAAGTGAAGGGTCGTTTGTATGTGCTAAGCTGCTAAGCTATGTTGTTCTCAAGGGAGGAACATTGTATCCCACTACATGTGTTTGTGTTGCTGAGTATCTAAAGTTAGCCATGGATGGATTATGAAACGCTTGATGATTTTTGTAGGAGGATCATGAGAATAACGAAAAACATGCATGTTGCATAAACTTAATGTACATGTGTCAAACTGCCCGTGTAGCTATCAGTGTCACAGATATATAAACCAAAACGAATATAGTTGCAAATTCAGGAATTTCGAGGACGTTAGATGGCTGGCGTTTTTTGGTCCACTATATCAGTCGAGTTCGGAAAATCATCCCGGTGAAAACTGCCCGGGTAAGCCCAACTGGAAGCGAGGCAAGAGAAGAAGAGAGAAAAGTGGACGCCTTACGAAAGGACGCACCCAACCCTGATGGGCCAACCCTGATGGGCCATGGTTTCGTTTGATGGGTATATGGGTTAGCACTGTAATCACAGCAATAGTTTGGTAATTGGCTATGGATCAATACCTATTAATACCATATTTAGTGGGATGAACATCCATTTACCAGCTATTTTGATGTTCACCAGGGGTACAAGGTTTTGACACACTGCCAATTAGGCCACATTTGAAAAGGGTTTTTTAAAGCACGCCAATCCGGTCCGGTTTATCATCAGGTTTACCACCGGGGACCAACACTGGTGGAGTAATCGAACCCCATCTCGTCCCTGAAAATGTCTTCAAAACACAGTCAATCCCTTCCCCTAGTAGACTCTCCCGTAAGCGCCCCAAGTATGAATATATCATAATAGATCCAATGCGTACATAGACAAACACAACCCAAATGGGGATTTATGGTTTTGGGTTTACCACACTATCCAATTTGCTGCACTATGTGATTCGAACGACCTAGATAATGAGAATTACACATGTGGTGAGCCCAATAATGAACCATTTGGGGATGTTTTCTACGTCCCATTTCTGGTAAAATTGGGGATACCCTTCGGTAATCAAATGTGGCAATGGAAAATTCACCATTTATAGATGATTCTCCAATTAAGATATATTTAAACTTCCATTTATAAAGGATTTTTCATTGCCACGTTTGATTACCAGAGGGTATGTAAAACAGCTAACATAGATGTCAGAAAGGCACCCAATTGTATGGGCACGGGAAAAAAGGGTTGAGTCTACATGGACGCAAGCCAAGGAGAGAAGCAGTGAACATGACCATATCAGGGACAAAATTGAGTGTTCAAAACCACTGTTGGTTGATTATAGAAGCTTATACTACCCCTGATATGGGGATTATCATCCATGAACGGGGCATCCCGTTCGGAAAACCAGAAAAAAACATGGAAATTTGGTGGGCGCATTTGTGAAGCAAATTTGATTTCTTGCCAGGAGATGTACTTAGCTGGTCAGTCAAAGAGTGCAATGACACTTGGATTGATGCAGCCGTTGGCAGCGATAGAAATGGGACTGAATTTGATTGAACCAACTACCCAAAAAGACCATCATCTGGGAGTCCTTGACCTTCGACCCGTACCGGGTACGTACCGACTGGATGGTCTGGATGGCCAGAGCTGCAGCAGCATCTGTTACAGAACAAATCTTGATGGATTCAGGGGTGAAACTGTTCACATTTTGATCCAGTTCTGGCAGATTTTTGCATTCTTACACTATATAATCAAGAACAGAGTACTGCAAACCTTTATGACGCATCAAATCTGCAGGCGTGCCGGTTTTCATGACCCTGATTCTGGATGCTGAACCCCTTACTTTATCCGTCCCACTTAGCAAATAGGTTATGTTCGTGGTGAACTAAGTGGGATCAGTAGGGCTAATCCACTGCCCTGGGGTGAACTTACTGATCTATACTGATCTCAGGTTCACCGCAGCGAGTTCATCAGAAGGGAAGGAACGCGCCGGGAAAACTCAGCAAGAAAAATGGCGGACCTGGAGAGTGCCCCATGCTGAAAATGCTGTGAATATCACCACATGTATCACACAATCTGGATATGTGATATGTGGAGGTTTTCTGAAATACCCCAAGTCATCCAAGTTATGGATGACCGTTTGAGTATTGACACTCATGGTGACTTGGGGTACCCCCATTATGGGAAACCTCTGTGTGTATATACATTATATATATATATATATACAGTATATTTCTATACACACACGCATAGATACACACAAACCCAGCTAGTTGGTGGTTTCAATGATTCTTCCCCTATGATGGTCCCTCGCTCCTGACTTTCCGAAACATGTCGGAGTGGCTCAACCTCGAACCACGATTTTTTCACATCGCAAATGTCCAGATCTTTGATGGTTGAACCACCCCATTCTTTTTTGTTAAGCCAACAGCCAAAATGTTCAGCCGCCAAACATCTTGGTGGAATCCTTGAATACCTCTGACAACATTTTTGTCAACAAACCATCGGGAGTGTTTGAAGCCGCACAGTTTCTAACACCAATTTTCAGTGGTTTCACACCACAACACCATCAACCCATTCGAAGCCAAAACATACTCAAATATATTTTTTTGTTTAATTATTCTAAGCACCATTATTTCATTAGGTTTCATCACCATCAACCCGTGGAAAAAAGACTGCTATTATTCGCGGCTTACTCTGGTCAGTAAAAATAGCTGGCTGGAAAATCCCTCAATGATTTCATGATTTTTCCCATGAAAATGCCCATTTCGTTCCAGGTGATATTGTTAAGTTGGTGATATATCGAACTATCAACCATACCATATACGTATGATATCCCCGTTTAGTCACCATGATATCCCCAGATTTGCGAGCTCGCTTTCCCACACTCAGGGCACCTTGGAACAGATCAAGGCGAACCGCGAGCTGAAACGCCGCAAGGAGCTTCTGAAGGACCGGAAAAAGAGTGGGGGAGTGGGGGGGGCCAGGTGCCAGGCACTACTGGGGTTTGTCCACACCATGAATTAAACCACCTTAAATGGTGAATCTAAACCATGAATTCAACCATCAAAAATAGGCATAAAATTTTTTTGGGTTAAAACCATTCACCAAATCACAACAGATCAATCCCAAAGATACTACTCAAATGGTTTCGGCAACGACCGTACTCATAGGATCATCCCACAGATCGTAAGTGGTTAACAAACATAGTCAATTTATGCATTTACAGATGGGATGACCTACTCATCGCGGACTTACGATTACCAGGGTTTTCTTTAGCAGCTTTAGCACTTACGATTCGCGGGATGCTCCTCCAAGTATCACCATAACCAGAAATCATTTGGCGATCAAAATGCTGGAATGGTCGGCTTTTCAGACAAAAATTGCTGGTACTTGTGGATGTTCTTTTTCTCGTTAATTGATTGGAACACTAACACCCATATATATATATATATATCATATGGAATTAATCAAGAAAGATATAGGATCAACATTATTGACATGTAACAAAGACAGTGTATATAATTCCATATGATGGGGGTTACAGATGTGAATCCTCCTTAGAAATCAAAAACAGCGATTGAAAATCCACCAGAGGAGGCGAAAGAAGCCAAAGACGAGGCGAAAGAGGCGAAAGACGAGGTGGATCTTATTGGGAATTACTGAGATGTTGCGAACAAATCAACTTTCCTATTGGTTTATCATCGTTTTCTCCATCAACATTGCCTCTTTTTGGGCCTTTGGTTTGCCACTTTCGGACCCCGGGGTGGGAAGGCCGGACCTAGGCTCCCAGAGTGTTGGATGAGTCAAGTTTCACCGAAAGAGTGGGAAAGAAGCAAAAAGTTATCCAACAATTTATCCAAGTCATCACGGTGATTATCCAACGATTTATCCAACTTTTCCAGTTTTTAGAGGTGATTCTGAACTTGATCCAATCCAAGCAGATGATCTTATCCTCTTCCCACTGCAAGGTTGATAAGGTTGATAAAATGGTTGATGCATAGAGGGGCAATCCTCCACCTTTTCACAACCAACAGTTAAAATGATGATAAGCGGTATACTGTTCGTCACCGGCGCCTCTAAGACTCTATTTCTCAAGACTTTGGAGCCCTCCCAAAAAGTGCAATGAATGACCAGGGCTCCCATATATCAACCGTGCAACTTCACCATTCAAGAGTGGCATGGCAGAATTGATTTCTATCCAATCTAATATCCCATGAAATAAGCATGCTATCCCCACGATATCGCCATGATATCCCGAAGGGTTGGGCTGATATGTTATATCTGGATTAAAGGAGACCCAAGACATCCCAAGACCCCTAGCCGGCCACAAGGAGATAGAAATCTTAGAGGAGTACCTAGCCAGCCCTGACCCCAACGTCAAGCTGGAGGAGGATGCAGGCCATCTTTCGTGACGTCCGGTGGGCGATCCACCAATGGATGCCGAACAAGAGATCCATGGAATTTTGGTGTTTTTACCACCAGATTTGGGATTTGGAATGGAACATTGCAAGATTTCCCTGATACGGCGTCAATCGAAAATCTTCTCAAAAAAAACAGCTCTTGAGTCATCCTCCAGGGACCGGGACAAAAGAACAGCCAGGAACTTGCCCCAAAAAATTGGACGTGATGGGTATATGCCGTATATGCAACAGAATTCCTGAGATAGACACTGAATTCCAAATCTTAGCGATCCGAACGGTGATGCGAACGTCGACAGGTGAAGGGACCGCAAATAGCGCAGGGAGCGCAGCCAGTAGCCGCACATTGGTGAAATCCAAGCTCCCTGGCAGAGAATGAGATTTATCTATGGTTATTTAAGCTAAGCCATTTTTCGTAGCTATCTTAAAATATCCCAGGGTACACGCAATCAACCAACACATGGCAATGAAATTATACATGTCAAAGCCGGGATCTTAAAAAAAATCCTGGAGCCTGGTGGAATAACCAGAAGGGTCTCCCACCAAAAAGTGTTGAAAAATGGCTGAAATGATGCTCCCCCAATTCAAACATGAGGCTTTGAACCGACTCCGGGCTTCACATCAAGAAATTGGGTCTCTATGGATGGCCTCCCTGTCAATGGATGTTCTCCATGATATCGTCCCTGTCAATCGTCCCTATCACGGCTCCATTTCTCGTGATAATCAGTACCAAATCCTCCAAAAAAAGTGGTTTTCCAGTTCTTTTGGGTGTTGAATCCTAGCCCAACTTGTGATTTTTTTGGGTATATTTTTAATGTTGCGCTAAAAGGGACATTCACGGCGTGGAAATCCTTCACGGTTTCACGCAAAAGTGATCTGCATTCATGGTGTGATTGATTTAAGAGAAAACCTACAGGATAGCCCCGTTTTCCAAGGTAAGAAACAAGGTCTCCGGTAGATTTTTCCTTGAACCAATCCACTGATGGTGGGGTATTTATGTGACACTTTACCCCAGGATAGCTTTGACACCGAAGCCAGTAGACATCTGAGGTATCCCGAGGACTGGGCTGGCTTATGGATGGGTTTTTACCATGGCTCAAACCAGATAATTTACCTTTCAAAAAGGATGATTTCCATAGTTGTGTAAATGTTTACCGAGGGTAAGTGGTGGAATACAGCACAAACTGCTCAAACTGGACTTTTTCATCATGAATTCACCAAGGTGTGTAGGTTTCGCCATTTTCTGAGTATGCCCAAGCATTCCAGATGGGAGCATGAGAGACCCCGCAGGCCCCAGAAATTTGGTGCTGCGGGTATTCTGGGTGAATATTTCCAGGAAACCTGGATTGTAAGCCATGAAAAATTCGACATTTTCCATCGACTTTCCATCTTACCCAGAACATAGGGTCCCCCAAAGCGTTTCACAAGAATCATCGGGAGTCAGCCACCAGGTCGGTGAACCCCCACAACAGTGGTCAACGGCCCATGTGAACCACCAACGATCGGCTTGTCACCAAGCTGGGGGGGTTCAGGACATCACCGTGCGCGGGCACTCGCAGATTTGGGGCTCCTGGTTCACCACGGACGAGCAGCGTGTCGTGGCGAGAATTTTGCTGTAGAAGATGAAAAAACGGGAGCACATCACTTTTCTATCTTTTTTTGGGCGATAAAATCCACAACCAGAAACTGGTTTTTGAAATGCATTCATCATGTGGACTCCATGAGTACCAGCAAACAACCAGCCTTCATCCCAATGGATCTATGGCACCCATGTGCGGATGGGATACCATGGGATACCTCATATTGCTATCGATTACCATTGATGTTACCCTCTGGTTATGTCAAACATAGCTATTGAAAATGACCATAAAAATAGTGGATTTTCCCATTAAAAATGGTGATTTTCCATTGCTATGTTAGTTTACCATTGATGTTCACATTTCCCCTATGTGGTTGTGGTTCAAAATGAAAAACGTTTCATGGTTACGAAGCATGACCAATCTTGTACATTCGCGACTTGTCATGGGTTTCCCCAGAGGACCCGCGTAATGAACACGTGACGTATTTCCCTGTATTACAGGTGAGACCCTGTGATGAATTCCAGTTTTTTCATTGTTTTCCCTACAAATTTTCACAGGCATCCCCATTTTTTTGCTTAGTTTTCAATTTACTTTGCTGTTCCCATCTTTTCCCCAATATTTTTGGTTCCATGATTTTCCCAAAATGCTGTCCCAATGACCATCCTTGTCCTCCAGTTTTTCCCACGGCTTCAGGCTGGGGTTTCGGCTGTTGCCACATCACGGACCTCCTTGCACGATGTCCTCACGGGCCGGAGGAGGAGGTGCGGGGGGGCCTGCGGATGAGTTATTGTTTTAACGGGTTTGGTTGATATAACTATAGTTTTCATGGGGCTTTGAAACCAACTTATTATAAACATAGAAACACATATAAAGAACTTTAGTGAACCGGGGAGGTTTAGTGAACCGGGGAGTTTGAAGAAAAGGAGACTATGATGGGTGATCGGTATAAGGCTATCAAGCAGAAATGAGAGATGGATTACGACGGATGTAGGTTCTTCATGGATTATGATGGGTACAAGTTAAAGGCTCCTTACCAGAAAAAAGCTTACAGGGGCAGCAATGTTGCAGTCAGGAAACAAAATAAATGCCAGTCTCAGTGCTACTGGCATTTGACAAAATATTTTTTGAAAAGGATTCGCAGAAAATCTAGTCTAATCCAATAAAAAGTTTGAGTAAAAACAAGATTTCCTCTTAAACACAAAGGTACCACATCTTTACTCAGCTGGTTGCCATCCCAAAATACTTTCCACTGGGACAGTTTATCAAGTGTTGCCACTGACCAAGACATTCCTCGCTACGAAGAATAGAATGAATCACATTCAATTCAAAATTGAATTTAGATTTTCTATGTTTACCCTAAGAAGAACAACTCTTTAAACTACATAAAATAATCAAGAGGTAACATGTCAGAATATATATCAATTGGTGGTGGGTGGTGGTACTCCACATTAAAATTTAAGAAATAACATGTCAGAATATATGTAAGATTTTTGTGTCAGAGAAAAGGTCAGAATATATGTTAGTTGGTCTTACTCAATTAGTGATCTCCTAGAAATTAATTAAAACCCTTGTCAGATGGGTCCGCGCGCGCACCACAGTAAGCTTGTTTCGGGGTACTTAGGGGGGCGCGGACCCAAGGAAAACAGTTAAAAGTCTAGGCATTGGCTGAATAAGTGGTGGTAATCTGCATTCAAATTTAAGAGACAACATGACAGAATATATGTCAGCTTTTTGCGTCAGAAAAAAATACTTGAATATATATTAGTTGGTGGGGGTTATCCAAAATAAAATATAAAGATATGCTAATAGAAATTCAAAAAATCAATGAGAAACATAAGAATAGTTTTTGAATAATATTCCAAAACCTCACGGGAAGGCTTCTACCTAAGCATGATGGAGGGTGTGCCCTAACATGATTCATGCTTAGGTGTTCTGAGAACACCTAAGCATGAGCAATCTTCAGGCTCCAGCCAGGGTACTCTGACCCTGGTCCCCCAATGGCAGGCATAGAGTACCCAGGCTGGAGCCTGAAGATTGCTCATGCTTAGGTGTTCTCAGAACACCTAAGCATGAATCATGTTAGGGCACACCCTCCATCATGCTTAGGTAGAAGCCTTCCCGTGAGGTTTTGGAATATTATTCAAAAACTATTATGTTTTTTTCTCATTGATTTTTTGAATTTCTATTAGCATATCTTTATATTTTATTTTGGATGACCCCGAACAACTAATATATATTCAAGTATTTTTTTCTGACACAAAAAAAATGACAAATATTCTGTCATGTTGTCTCTTAAATTTGAATGCAGATTACCACTTACTCAGCCAATGCCTAGACTTTTAACTGTTTTCCTTGGGTCCGCGCCCCCCTAAGTACCCCGAAACAAGCTTACTGTGGTGCGCGCGCGGACCCATCTGACAAGGGTTTTAATTAATTTCTAGGAGATCACTAATTGAGTAAGACCAACTAACATATATTCTGACCTTTTCTCTGACACAAAAATCTTACATATATTCTGACATGTTGTTTCTTAAATTTTAATGTGGAGTACCACCACCCACCACCAATTGATATATATTCTGACATTTTACCTCTTGATTATTTTATGTAGTTTAAAGAGTTGTTCTTCTTAGGGTAAACATAGAAAATCTAAATTCAATTTTGAATTGAATGTGATTCATTCTATTCTTCGTAGCGAGGAATGTCTTGGTCAGTGGCAACACTTGATAAACTGTCCCAGTGGAAAGTATTTTGGGATGGCAACCGGCTGAGTAAAGATGTGGTACCTTTGTGTTTAAGAGGAAATCTTGTTTTTATTCAATCGTTTTATTGGATTAGACTAGATTTTCTGCGAATCCTTTTCAAAAAATATTTTGTCAAATGCCAGTAGCACTGAGACTGGCATTTATTTTGTTTGCTGACTGCAACATTGCTGCCCCTGTAAGCTTTTTTTCTGGTGAAGAGCCTTTAACTTATACCCATCATAATGCATGAAGAACCTACATCCGTCGTAATCCATCTCCCATTTCTGCTTGATAGCCTTATACCGATCACCCATCATAGTCTCCTTTTCTTCAAACTCCCCGGTTCACTAAACCTCCCCGGTTCACTAAAGTTCTTTATATATATATAAATACATAAATAAATACATAAATAAATACAAAGATAAATAAATACATAAATAAATAAATGAATGAATAAATAAATTGAATTAAATAAATAAAAATTTACGAATTTTACTAAGACCGATGATTTTGGTTCTCCCAGGGCACCCGGGTCTTAGCCCATGTCGTATTGCATGCAAAACGAGAGTCGTGCGATCGGATCGGATCCTTTGAAACCAATGGACATGGAAAACCCGAAATGGTAAACGTTTACAGAACTATGGAAAATCACCATTTTTAATCGGACAACTCACTATAAATGGCCATGTTCAATAGCTATGTAACAAATTACCAGAGGGTATATAAAACAGGTGGTCTTTGTGATTGATGAGGGCTGAAACATGTTGAATCCCCATTGGAACATCCCTTGTAGTTGCCATAGTTCGCCCTGGTTGATCCCCAAAAAATCTGACTGTGGAGCTAGAGTTTTCACGGGGCTTCAAAAGCAACTTTTATACAGTGGGAGTTGCAAACCTATGCATATTACTGTATTTGAGAATAACTTTCCAATATCACCAAACAACAGTGGTTGGTTCTAGTGGCTGATAATTGGAGGTACGTTACCCAGTTGGGTAGTGGATTTGGATTTAACACGTTCAGACAAACCCATATGCTTTAATGCGATTCTAATGGGATAATGGAATCAGTCTGGGTGGAATTTTCTCATGGGCTCGTCATGGGAGAATCCCAGCCCCCAGGAACCATAGAAAACACAGCCGAAAACGACCATCCAATTGGACACAACCAATGTAGCCGTCAGGTAGTAAGTCAGAGCATTTTTTGAAAACCACATATTTCGGAAATGAACAATTAGCAATTTGTTGATCAAGGTGGAACCGATCCAAAATGGCCATTGATGGTCAGATTTAGCAAAAACACGCACACGGTAGTGGATCTTAACTTAACCATTAATTATTTGATAACTATTCAGATTTGATAAGGCCATATCATTGGGGTAAGAATTGATGCGTGTTATACTGAAGTCAACACATGGAGAGATTGCATGGCAATCGTTTTCTCATCATGAAATCCCGTGGGCTGTTCCTACCTGCTGAACAACCGACCTTGGGGTGATCCAATCATCAAACATGGGTGGGTCCGTTGGTACCCTCTGGTAAACTAACATAGCTATGGAAAATCACCATTTTTAATGGGAAAACTCACTATAAATGGCCATTTTCAATTGCTATTTTGACATAACCAGAGGGTACCTGATTTACTTCGCCACACTTCGCCCAAATTTTCGCTTCGCTGTTTGGCTGATTTTGAACTTTTTTACCCCCATGGGCTGGTTTTGACACTCATCAGAGTTTGTCAGAGACCCCCTAACATCCATGGTTTATCATCACTTCCCAATTGAAATTGCCATTTGATTTGGAGGCTTAATCCCCTATTTTCAGACCTTATCCGTTCAAAGATGTTTTTTTGCCAAGTGACCCGTTGGTGGACCGATGATCCCTTCTCCAGGAGCCCCCTTTGGAGAAACCCGCCAAAAAAAAGCGACGGCGCAATGAAAAAGCCGAGGCGAAATGCGAAATGTGACCATCAAATATTGGACCCTGAGGTATGGTGAGTCAGCCCAAGAAATATATTCTGACAGTCAGTCCATATTATTTGCCAATCACCGTTTTAATTTGTTACCAATGGTGATCTCAGGCGATGGGCTAAAAACTTCGAGAATCCTCCTGGCTGTGGGATGTACATCGGGATATCTTTAAATCTTTATATATATATGTATGATATTACAGTCTTACATATCTATGTATTTATTGTATATCTGCATATATATATATATGATAATATATATATATGATAATATATATATGATTATATATATATATATGATAATTATATATATATATATGATAATATATATATATGATATATATATATAATGTATATATATATATGAAATAATATATATATATATACATATGATACAATATATATATATGTATATATGCATATCTACATTAAATATACACATACATATCTTCATCTCTTATGTCTACTTTGCTATCCAACAATACTTGCATTTTGCATGCAACATTCCGCTGGCGGTTGGTCGAATCTTCCACTATACCACAAATAAGCATATAAAACCATATAAACCATGTATAGATATGTTTTTGGTCGCCAAACAATTTGGGCCTATTGTTTGGAATTGTCCGTCCTCCAGCAAGCCAACGCCAAGCCCCATTCACAAAACAGCGGAGGCTGCATCGCCAGCTGAGCCGAGTCAGGGAAGTGTTTAAAGTTGTTTACCGATCTCTGCCCAGGGCTCAATGAAAACAAATCAGGGAAAATTTAGAAACACTGATACCTTCTGGTAAACTAACATAGCTATGGAAATTCATCATTGTTATGGTGGATATCTTAAGATTCATATTCCTGGTTTGCAAATTATATCCTCTGGTAAACATTCACATAGCTATTGCAAATGGCAATCTATAGTGGATTTACCCATTAATAGCATGGTGATTTTCCATAGTTATGTAAACGTTTACCAGAGGGTACCTTCTCACAAGCCAAACAAGTTTCAACTGTGTCCGGCAGAGATCAATGCCGATGCTCCCGATAGCAGTAGCTTTCTCTGGTGTGCCAGCAGTGCACGGCGACACCGAAGCTGTTTTCCAGCTGAAGAGGGGGCACGCAAGCACTGCATTCGATTTGCTGTCGTGCAAATCTCTGATTGCAGGCATCCAAAAAGGTTTCAGCCGGGCTCGATTTTCGGATTGTACAACATCTCCATAACAAGTGGTGATGGCCCCCCAATTTCTAGCTCTTTTGCTTGGGAAAAACGATGATAATCTGTTTGAATTGGCAGTATCCCATTCTCTGAGAAAGCCACTTGCAGTTTGATTTCAGTAGCATCATATTTTGTGCGAACTTTCGATCATCAATGACAACTTGTAGTAGATTTGTAGATGATGATAAATCTGAGCTCATTCAAAAACGCCCATTCTAAAGCATCCCTTTGTATTGCTGGTTGAAGCACGTTAAATCCACATTTCCTGCAAGGTGGAGCCCCATTCTCTATCAAGAACTAGGATTTCTGATCTATCAATGATCTATGGTAGATAGAACTAAATCGCATCCATGTTTTTTTTGTTTTTTTTAAAGACGAAAGGTCACCGTGCCGTTTTTTCGATGAGGATTCCATGAAGATCTTCACCGAGTTGCACGTGAAGGAAACCGTCCGAGCAGTCGGGACACCGAGCCGAGCGACGGTTCGATGGGGAAGCGGATTGAGGTAACTTTCCTATCCCCAAATGGCTGACCTTTTCAGGTTGCCACCTGCTAAATGAGATAACATAGACCCTGCCAGATAGGGCTTGGACGATTAGTTTCTACAAAAACTGGCTTCTTTTCAGGGTCGAAATTTACCAGAGAGTATCATTTACAGATGTTTTTAGATGTTTTTTTAATTATAAATTACTCATGATAGAATCTATATAAAAAAATAATTATGAGGGAAATCATCCACTATTGTTGGGCTATAATGTCTTTATTACTCACATGATAGTTAAATAGTCATTATGACAGCAAGGACATCATCCACACTGTTGGGTACGAAGGATCCAGAAATGATGACTGCACCGACGATTTGAGCCACATACGTTTCTGACATAGAACGCCTGTCTGTGAAATGGGTATGGATCAATATCTATAAACATACAATTTTTAATGGGATGAACATCCATAAATCCCAGCTATTTTGATGTGAACTACAGGGGTACAAGGTTTTGACACACTGCCAAATAACTGGCTTTCTATGCAATGAAATTCTATGTCAGCCACACAGCATGTCTTTCGCCTATTTTCGCCTGGTGAAATAGACATGATTTTTTCAGCATGTCTTTCGCCTGTTGGTCATTTCTATTTCTGGATGACAAAAACACAATGTAGGTAAACAGCTATCTGACAAAATCTATGAGCCACACAGCCTGAAACATGTCATGAGTAAATTTTAGGGGTCAATTGAGTTGTTGGTACCCCTCTTTGATTGTCTGACTTGTGAGGGCTTGACTTAGAACGCACACATCTCATACTTATCTAAGTCGACACGTTGACTTCAGATACAGTCAGTATCGTCAAATGTATTCAACCGTCGCATATACCTATGATATCTCATCATATTCCATGATATCATATTTCATAAAATCCCACTATTTCATGGTGTATCCTCATCCCATCTCCATCAAAAATCCCAGTTATAGATCTCCATGATATTCCACTAGATCTCCACATTTTTCCCCATTGGATTCCATATGATCCCAGTATCCCAACTTGATATTCCCCAACAATGGTCACCCTCTGGTAGAAAAAAACATGGCAATTCCATTTAGTGAACGATGATTTTCCCTCCAAAAAAAACTGCAGGCTGGGGATTTCCCCAGCCATGTTTGATGAGTTCGGAGGGCTTGATTTCCCCAGTATTTCAGGGACCGAGGGTCAGTTTTTCAGGTGCAAACTTTGCACAACGAGAACCTGTTTGCTGTGGCGCAGAAGTCCGTGATCTCCCAGTGCTGGGCCATGGGGCACTGGGGCACTTTTTTTGGGCAACACCTAGGGGAGTTCTACCAACCAAAAATGGGGGGATTTTATCACCAAAGATGGGAGTTTTTCCAAGGATTTGAAGCGAACGCTGAAACACAGGGAGTTTCACTGGCAAGAGTAGGGATATTGTTAAACAACTGTTATTGTAGTTTTTGGGAACCCCAAATCATAGAAGCTATTGTAGTCATTCGAAGAGTTCAAGGTGGTTTTCCCCAAAGATCATTTTATTGGTTTATAATGACCCCCATGAACTAGTTCCATCGATGTATCATGAAGCCATTCAAGCCATTCGTGGAGATCTAGGGCACCACCTCGTAAAGTCCTGATAAAACGAGCGTAGATCCAAATTGAAGAACCCGTGGGTAAGTGGTTCCAAATCGACCACCAAAAATCACAGTCAGGACAGGATTGATGATGATGATGATGATTATTATTATTTATTATCACTACTATTACAATTATATATAAATAATTATATACTATTGTTGTTACTACCACAGGCCCATAGGTTGTTATCATAATCAGTAATTATATATGTAATGATTACATGATTGCTATATTATTGCCATAGGTTCTTAACCCTAGGTTGTTACCAGGATGAGCCACCCGCCATGGTTTGGTGTCATCAGATGCAGCTTTTCATGGGGAAAGCAACGAACCAGCTGAACTATTGTAACTATTGTTGGACCTGAAAGTTCAGCTTGATGTTTCCTAAATTTTAAGCTTGAAGTCCGACGTTCATCTCTGCTGTTTGGGCTCAGTGTGCAAGATGTAGTCCTTCGCAAACAACCTCAAGTTGTGTAGCTTGAGGCGCGCTGATCGAGCCTCGAAGCTTCCAACGGAGGTTTTCCCATTTCAGCTGCTTTTCCCAGCGAACTAAAGCTCCAGTTCGCAGGGATGTTCCCATGACTTTTTCCGAGGGATTTTCCCATCAAGAATTTCCATTCAGGGGATTTTCTAGCCACCCAGCCAGGAAGGGAGGGTGACATGGTGCACCTTGAAGAACAACTTGTGCCAGTTGCCACCAAGTCGCTTGGAAAGCGCTTGGCTGGGGGAGGCTTGCCACCGACTCGCAGTGTGTAGAGTGGACATGGGATGTTGGAGACCACTGTGAAGACCTTCACAAACCGATGACCACCCACTTACCGATACCCTATTTTACCTGGTTGGTGGTTTGGAACACTTTTTATTTTCCATATGGGATAGTCCTTCCCATTGACGAACTCATATTTTTCAAGATGGTTAAAACCACCAACCAGTTACTATACATAGCATGGAAGTACAAAGCCTCACAAGGGGGACCCCCTTTGGCCATGTCCATGGCGAGCTGCAACCAGCCTGTGCCAAGGCCGAAAGTGGAGAAGGCACAGCTCGCCTTTGGGCGATTTTTCAACAGGAACCCAATTTCGATGGTTTAAAAAGCACCAATGGTTTCCTGCATTTTTTCTTGAAACTGAGTTGCCAGTGGTAAAAATCTTCGATTCTGTTGTACACTTATGAATTACAATGACCTAAAACACTGCTAGAACCTACCCTAAACCCTATTCTTGTTGTAGGTATTGTAGGTACATAGTAGCCACCTGAGCCTGGGACATTAGTGACATGGATCATCCATAAAAACCGCCTTGGAGCGCCCGGAGCAGCGGTTTCCGGAGGTTGAGACTGGCATCATCACAAGTGGCAAAGCTACACGCATTGTTGAGATTTACAACGAGGTTGGGACGAACTCCGTAGTTGGATGAAGTTGGAGGAAGTTGGGGGAAACTGTTTTTACCGTTTAACGTTTTTTTCGGGAAAAAAAACAGGTTTTATGAATCACCGGCAAAGTACAGTACTGTTTTATAAGGGTGAATCTTAACCATTGTTGCAGAAGTCACCTTGGGGGTTGTTGTAGGGTTAAGGTTAACAAATGGCTGACCCGTTGAGAAGGGTCAGTGCAACCGAAAATTGGATGCCCTTCGGTAATCAAACTGCCAATGGGAAATCTCCGCCTTATAAATGGGCATTACATCTATATATCCAGTGCATTTTCCATTGCCATGGTTGATTACCAGAGGGAAAACATCAGGAAATCGCTAGCTGAGTGCAACCGTGTGATGTTCCTTAAGATTTCTGTTTTTGTTCTTGTAATTTTCGCAAATGCAGCATTGCCAATAATTTTGCATGCCTCCAAAATATAGAATATTTTAATGGCGAAAATGATGAGAAACCATGGGACTTGGACGTTTTCACTAGATGCACTAAATTTTCAGACAACCTAAATGGGAACTATTGTTCATTATTATCTTACCCATCAAAAATGGAGTTTTCTTAAGGTGGGGGGGGCCCAGCACCATTGCTTTCCAAATTAAAGATGACAAACACAGAGGATTTCGGGGGTCCCGCACTGTCGCTGGGACGTCACTGGAATGCTGGTTTCATGAGGAATCATCCCCAAATGACCTTATTTATCCTTCAGGTTGGTGACATTCATCCTGCCAAATCCCTTCCACCTAATATTGAAGATATTGAATACCACCTACAAACCATGCTTAGTATTGGATTCTATTCATTTTTGGCCATATGGGCGGGGAAAGACAATATCCATCAAAATGGATAGATGATGGTTACATATGGTTACCATAATGGATTAATTAATGGTAATTACCTTGGTGGACTAATCATATCCACACAATATTCACCAGGATTATGTATGTATATATATATATACATATATCATGCCCACCAAGCCAACCGTTTTTCCCATAATATGTCCATGATGATATGCCCATTCTTACCGATATATCCCCATAAATCATTTGCCCTTTATATACGGTACTTTTTTATTGGAGGCACATCCCCCTTACATAGCCCTAAAAAATAGGCCTAAAAAAAATGGTAGGTACCTCCAGTTTAGGTACCCTCTGGTGATTTGTTACATAGCTATGGTATATATGGCCCATAGAAACAGATGATTTTCCCAGCTATAAACCTTCATTTAGAATGGATTTCCCATAGCTAGCTATGTTTTAATGGATTTATATCTGGTTATTTATCCCATTTTCGCATCATTTTATAATGGTTTTCCCATAGCTATGTTAGTAATAACCAGTTTGGGTACCATGGTACTGTCCATCGAATCAACGAGCATTGAGAAAGGGATTCCCCCCGTTCGTTCGTGGATTTTTTCATAATGTCCAACGTCCAACCTCACTAATCATCCAAAAAAAAAGGACTGCTTAGTATAAAAAGCCATGGTTTCCTAGTTAAAAAGTACAGGAAACCATTATATATGTTCCCATTATATATGGGGTTTTCATGGGTTTTCCTGTAGTTTTTTCCCTTAAACCAAGCCATTTGACACCAGATATCCCAAACCACTCGCAGGATGAGACGGAGTGCATCACGATCGGAGCCTCCAGTCTCGCGCTTGGAACTGCTGAAAGGGAGACGAGTTTTTCCAATGGTGGTACCCTCTGGTTATCTAACATAGCCATGGAAAATGGTCCATTTATAGATGGTTTACCTATGTTTACCTATTAAACATGGTGATTTTCCATGGCAAACTGTTAAATAACCAGAGGGTAGATGGTGGTGCATGGTTAAAAGTGGTGATTTAACCAACAATTCAGACACATTCGAATTTGACCATCAAAAACATTGATTTTTCATCATGAAACATCGGGTTTGTCTGGAAATGGAGGATGCAGTATACCCTTAAAATGGTTGTTTGCAATTCAGAAATTATGATAAACTGTTGGATTTGGAGGGGATATTTTCAGAGAGTTTCAAATTCCTAGTAGTTTTCCAACAAAAGCTGGGGGAATACAAGACTTACCTTACCTCGTTTGAGCTTTTCTCCAAGAAAAATCAAGGATCTTTAGAAGCAGTTGTTTTTTTTTGCGGATTTCAATTTGGAACAAAGACATTTTGACTATATGGACATGGCTTAGGCAGTTTAATGCCACCATCCTTGTGATAGCAATCCACCAAACGAAAACGGACGACTTGACCCATGCCGCTGGCCTGCCATGCCCCATGACTGGTATGATATCTACTCCTACGTGAATGTTTATCTGGTTGGTGGTTTGGAACAGCTGTGACAGCCCAAGCCCTTTCCAGAAGTGCGGCCGTTCTTCACTGCGCGCTGGGTGGTTTGTTTCACTTCGTTTGCCATGTCGTTGACCTATCCCATGGCCATTGGTTCGACTACAAATGGGGGCAGTTTGGATTTGGTATGTTCTATTCGGGTCTTTGATGTGGAGCACTCCTCACATCTCATGCATGGTAGAGATGGGGTTTCTTTCCTGTTTGAAGGCCTGCTTAGCGATGAATTCCATTCCTTCACGATTTTGGGAGGTGTCTTGAAGCAACAATTCCCCATTCCAGTGATTGTTTCCACCCGAGACACTGTCATCATGGGACATCGACGACCTACATGGGACTCTTTGCTGTCCACAGTGGACCTTTGTGCAGGGTTCGGAGGCTTAGCCCAAGGAGCAGCAGCAGCTGGGTTTTCAGTGCAAGTCGCCGTTGATCAAAACCAAAAGATGTTAGATTTGTACTCCAAAGTGAATGATGCGCATTTGACTTGTGGAGACATCGGTGATAGGAAGGTTTTGCATGAGATTTGGCGTCACTCAGCAGGCGCCTTAACTGTCACTTCAGGTTTCAGCTGCCAGCCCTTTTCACGATTGGGTGACTGCAAAAGCCATGAAGACGATAGGGCTAGTTGTCTCACCAAGACCCTCCGCACTGCATACTATCTGCAAGCACAATTGATTGTGCTCGAATGCGTTGCACCGGCTGCTCAGGATGGTTTTGTCCGCCAGGAGTTGTCTCACTTCATGAAGTGTATGGGTTACCATTGCACTCAAACAGAACTCAAGCTTGACCAGGTTTGGCCATGCAGGCGTCACAGATCATGGTGGGTTTTATCGTCACCTGAAATCGGCCCTGTAGAGATTCAACCCTGGCCAGTTTTGCCTAGCATTCATGAAGTACAACAGGTTATCCCTGAAATTCGATTGTGGGCCCTCAATGATGAGCAACAATTAGCCCTTGATGAAGTTGAGCTCCAAGCTTTTGGTGTGAATGATGAAAAGCACGGCAAACACATTCTCAATGGTAAGGGGAAAGCCCCTTGTGCATTACATGCATGGGGATCGCAGACTCGTGCATGTCCATGTGGTTGCAGAAAGTTTGGTTTCTCCAGTGAACGACTTGCCACTAAAGGGCTCCATGGTTGCATTGTCAGAAGTGCTGTCTTCCCTGATGGATCAACTATCATTCGACATGTGCACCCAAATGAAGTGATGGGATTAAACACCTATGATCCGGTCATTGACTTTGGCACGGATGTGCGTCTCACACTTTCAGCAGTGGGCCAGCTTGCATGCCCAGCCCAAGCACTTTGGGTATTGGGTGCGATAGTTGAAAGGATTGACACAATGAGAAACTCACCCACCTTTGATCCAGTTTCACAATTGCAGGCATACAGATCATGGCTTGTTATGAGGTGTAGAATGGTTTGGCCATCAGAAGCTGCCTTGATCCAGGATCCAAAATTTTTGGAACTGATGACATTTTGGAAGGATTTTCAGAATTTGTCTCTACAGGAACTGGTTTACCCTCTCAAATGGGAAGGGAAAATTGAAGGCACTGTTTCCATTGCTGCGATTTTGGATCACCTGATCCGATCCAAGCCTGACATCCGGCCAACCATCCCAGACCCGGAATCCAAGACCGAAGAAGAAGACATTCCTGTTTTTGATTTCCCATGTGTTGTTGATGATCCTACCACCGTAGGCTGCATGTGTGCTGATTCATGCACCGTGGTGTTTTCAGGGATGAATGATCCGCCCATTCGGTTTCAGCCCAAGTGTGGGACGACCATTGACCATTTCTTGCATGCCCAGGCCCAACTGAACGGCCCTTTTAGGGTTGCCGGCATTTCCATTAATGGTGTCAATGTTCAGCGGGATCATGTGTTGGAAGTTGGCCAGGTCATCCAGGTATCCCTTGAAGAGGTTGCCAATCCCATCAGTGCTTTGGTTCATCCAGAGGTATCACCCACTGCGCAGTGGACACAGCCGGTGACAGAACAACCGGTACAGGCCACATCACGCAAAGTTTCCAAGTTCGATGTAGGGGAATGTCTCACCCCAACCATGGTCCTTCCTGATGACCATACATGGCTTGATTCCTCTGCTTTGCAAGGGTTATCGGGAGAACAGTTTCTGAAACTTCAAATGCCATGTGTTCAGACTGCTCAGCATTTGTGGTCCCTCAGGCACCAATATCTTCGAACTTCGGATAGACTTGCCATCTTCGAGCGTCAATTGCAGTTTTGGGCAGATGATGAAATTCGTTTTCACCTGCATGCAGTGACACAGTCGTACCAAGAAACCCGCATCCGGGCAGGTGCTGCAGTGCATGAGATCTGTACGATTGACCCATTGATTTTCACTGCATGGGCCCAAAACAAAGGTTTTGACATTGCTTTATGGGCCACGGATCACCATGAGATTTTGGAAAAGAGTGTCCCAATTGTCACTGTTGCTTTGCTAGACTGCCATTGGGTCCCTATTTTCATGTCACCGGTGAAAGGAGTGTTGCAAATCCATACTTGGGACGGAATGGGAGCATCACATCCTGGCCTCGATGAAGTGGTCAACACCCTAGCTAAGGCGCTGGGCTTCCAAAGTGCAATGATTTGCCGTGAACACAGATTGTTTTTCACTTCAGAATTGTGCGGTTCCTTGGCCATTGCGTTCATCCGGTATATCCTCTTGGGCACTCAACTCCCGAATGATTGTACAGAGGCGACAGTCATACATGCAAGACTGAAAGGTTTGTACTCTGCTGAACTCCAGAGATGCCAAATCGCCCGACGGCCATGGATTTGGGGTGCAGGGGATCGTCCCCCAACTGGTACCAGTGTTGCTTCAAGTGATCTGCAACTGGCTGTCAATGTCACCCGTGATCAAAGAATTGACCTTATCAATGCCAAAGGTTTTGCCATGGCGGATGATGAAATCCGTTTCCATATTATGAGTTTGGTTGAGAATCAACAAAGGTCTCACCTACCTTTTCTGGAACGGAGGTTCATTACCCTTGAACCCCTGGTTTTCAATTGTTGGGATTCAATTGGCCAAATCATTGCCAGCCAGTGGTGTGCCAAGAACCCTCAGATTTATGCCCAGGGTCAGAATGTGGTTACAGCAGTCGCCCTAGAAGATCATTGGCTCCCGTTGTGGATGGTACCAGATGGTCACATGTTGCAGGTTCACACTTTCCAAGCTGATGTTGATTTCACCCCGATTGACAATATCATCAACACGTTGGCAACGAATCTTGGATTCAGGGGACATGTGGTTCACAGGATCCCTCATGGTCTTCCAGAACATGTCATGTGTGGTGCACATGCAATGACCTTCATTGCACATGTGGTCGTCCGTATGCCATTGCCGCGCACGCTGCAAGAACTTCGCACTGCCCATACCAACATGCGAGCCTCATTCGTGGCCCACTTGTACTCGATTGGCTACACCCCAAAACCTGTCGTGTGGGGAAACGGTACTTCAGGGGAATCCGGGCAACTCCCTATAATGCCCGAGGATGATGTTCCTACTCGAATTGATCCACTTGGCCAAAGACGACAGGCGCGCAGCCAAATGCTCATCACGCATAGTTATGCCATGGGTAATGATGAAATTGAGTTTCACCTCCAACACCTGTTGGATTGCCACGCACAGGGTCCTCGTGCCATTGGTCCGGTCCGAAAATTCGTGGCCATCCCGCCAAAGACATTGGACAGTTGGATGCAAGGTGACTCTACTTTGATGCAGGAATGGTATTCGGTGCATTGGAATCATGTCCCCAAAGACACCCAAGTGGTTGCCGTCATCCTTATTGACCAGCATTGGGTCCCGTTTTGGATTTCACCCAACCAATCCTCTGCCCATTGTCACACGCTAGGAGATTTTGCACGTGATGATCAGGTGGTTACACAAGTGCTAGGCGACTTGTCACAATTCTTGGGTTTTGATGACGTCATGATCCACAGGGTCCCACATGGCATTGATGTCACCAGATTGTGCGGGGTTATGTCCATTAGCTTTCTTGCCCACATCATGCTCAATACCCGACTCCCACAGGATGACCATCAGCTACGCGCTAGATGTTGGAACATGAAAGAGGTTTTTGCTGCTGCATTGAACTCTGCGGAAGTAGAAATGCCCACCATGTGGGGATGGGGCGTAAGGGAATCCAGGCCACTCCCTATAATGCCTGGGGTTGATGATCTGCCACCCGCTGAATGTGCAAGCCATGCATTGCCGGACTGCCAGGACACCAAGAGAGGTGCACACCAAGCCTTTGTTGGTATGCATCACCACGAAATGAAGTTTCACTTGAGCC